TGAGTAGTTTGCTCACATCTCCTGTATCATATTTTCATTTTTTATTTTCTTCATTTCTTTTTACATTTTTTTTTTATGTGTGTGTTGGAGAATCATATCAGGACGCTCAAGTTGTGCTCATATGTGGAATGCTCATCATCCAGGTGTCTTCTTTCTCTATATTTACATAATTTTTGACACTGAGGACACTGTCTGATTTTGGTTGGCGGTGGTGGGCATATTGCGTAAGAGTAGTGATTTTTGTCATGTTGATATTTGGGTTAAAATTTTTGCAAAGTTGTCTGAGTATAATTCAAAATGATTGGTTTGGGTCAATTTTTGCTGTCTTGGTTGCTAAGAAATGACTTCCAGAGTTTCTTTTTGCACGTGCTAAACCTTGTGGTAAGATGGATGTTAATGCATGTCAGCTGAGAAAATTCCCGAGTTTAAGTGCTTGATTTTTAGTGAGTCAAGAGAGTAGAGAAAATGACTCTTGAACTTTCATTGATCTTTTGAGCTGGTAAAATCACTATTAGAACATCATTACATGGTTAGTGGTATGCTTGGTGCATATGCTTGAGGGATGGATTTTGGGTTAGATAGGAATGATCTTATGTAATAGAGCCTCATTTCTTAAATAAAAAAAAACAAAAAAAAAACTGAGCAAGAGCAACATTTCATAGATCCTGTAGTTTGGTGTTAATCACATTCGATGTTATATAGCTGTTTGTTAAAATAACACCTTTCTACATCCACTTCAGGTTGTCTCTTGCTAAAAAAACAAAAACAAAAACAAAAAAACAAAAAAAAAAAAGAAGTAATTTTCCTATGCATTTTTCTTTGGCTCTTTGATCATCTCTGTAAATTTCTATTTGACCTGAATGAAATCTCAAAAGTTGGTTGTGGTAAGAATGGTGGAATGTTCTAGTAGTTGATTAACCTATCTTTTAGTCAATGTTCGTTTGAAGATTCTCCTTCTGAAGTTACTTCTTAACCCCCCTCTTCACTTCTTTCCTTTCTTCATTCATAAACTTCTTAAACAAGCATTTTTATTTTCTTTTCTTCTTCATGTTCAACTTATTCAAAGCCAACGAAACTTCTTATCCCATAAATAAAAACCAAAGGAAATGCTTGTTTTGTGGTGCTTTGCTGTTGAATTTCTGGTTGTAAACTTTGTACGCAAACCATTTGACAAATTGCATGTTGTTGGATTTCTTGTGTCTTTTGGGTTCTTTTTTTTTTCAAATCTTTATGTTGTTCAAGATATGGGTTTTCTTTCTTTAATGCTTGGAAGGGTTGTTGTAGGAGATAATACTTTCTTCTGATGAGTCATGTGCCTAACACGTAGTGAATTCTATCACTTATTGTAATAAAATGAAAAAATTTATTAACGGAATAAAATTCAGAGAGAACAAATAATGTTACTTTTTAAAATTCAGAAAATAAAATGTTAAAATGGTAAGAATTTATGGGGAATTTTTAAAATTAATCCTAACTTGAAACTAATCTCTGTAATGTACGTATTTGAGAGAAAACAGAATGCTTAAACAAAATGTATCTCAAGAAATATTAATACTCTCATTGATTGATTAAGCCGTACAATCTATCTTATACTAATCAGAGGCTCTCACTAATTACAACTGATTAAGTAGTAATTAATAGCAGTAACAAACTATTGCCACTTGTATAGATAATGAGCAACTCTGCAACTAACACTACAGAAAAGCTAGCCTTAAAACTCTTTTTCATTAGAGAAAAACTAAAATTAGCAAAAGAAAAAAATAAAGAAGACGCTACAACGTACTAATAATATAAGATGAAAATTTTGAAGAGAATTAATTCAGAAAACCCAGTAATAACAAAAAAACAGAAAATAAATCAAATAGGACAGAGAGAAAAGCTAGAGGTTGAAAATATATAATTGATATTGTAGTGTCTACATCTCTAAACACATTCCAAGGGTAGCTATCATTTGCAAGCTGATCGTATGCCTGCTGGGGTGGTGTCAGTTTCTTTTCTTTCTTCCTTCACTGAATCACCATCTGCCTCAGGTCCTGATCTGCTGTGAAAATTATTATAGGGTGAATCTGTGGCGGTCATGAGCTGTTGGCCATAATATTACACGCATGTGATTATAATGCATGCCTTCACTGCATTATTATTATTAATACTAATTTTTTTCACAGTCCAAGTTATATTTTGACTTCAAAGTGGTCCTAGCTAGCTATATATCTTTCTTTGCTTTTGCTCTTTTCACGGGCTGTGCCTATCAAGTAAACAAAATTATCAGCCTGTGTTCTCATTGATGTGTGCCTGTGCCACACTCAGTTTTAGTACCCCCAACCACGAATATATAATGTGTACAAATAAAAGATGACCATGCTCATTGCTCATGCTCATCTTTTATTGTACAATATATATATACATATCTCTGGGTTGAGCCTGCAGGAGTACTACTGGAGCGGCAGGTACATGTGGAATTTGGGGATTAAAAAATGCAACACGTGTTGGTTGTATGTGGAATTTTGGTTTTCTAACAGTGTGACAGCTGGTGACCTTTGTAGGGAGGTTGGCAAGTCGGGAGCTTGTATTTTATTCGGTTCGGGGCAGAATTGTAAAACACTAATTAAAGTAATACGGAAACGTATGTCGAGTTGTCTAACAGAAACGACAATGTAGGCGCGTATGTGTGTATGTCACTAGCCACCCATCTCAGCCATTTGGGCCTAATTAATTAGGTAAAAGAAATCTCAATTTCTGGGGTCGACCAGGCTACGAGATAGAATTGCACCACAGAGACATTAATTGATGATTTCAAAAGTTGACCAAAAGAATGCCTAAGAAGTAGCGGTGGAACTTGAGGCGGTGAGTCTATCTGAAGAAAATTTTTGAACTCGACGGGTTGGCATCTATCGCCATCCGTCTACCTAAATATCTTAGGTTCGGGCTCGGATAGCCCAAGGAAAAAGCATTTCCTGTAGCCCGCCACCGGTGGGGAGACCGTGACCGCCGGCCGCCATTTTTTTTTTTTTTTTGAATTTTCCACCGTACTCGAAGCCTGACCTAAAGCCCGAATACCCAAACAATGACTAGTTTTTGAATTTTATGCCCGACCCGAACCTGAACCCGATCCAAAGAATTTTTTGACCGTTAGCCCGACTTTTTGAATGCAACGGCTACATTTACCCGACCCGACCTGCCGCCCGTTTTTTTCGACTCTAACAGTTCTATTTTTTACCGTTACCCGAGCTGCCTAAACCCAACCCGACCCGCTGAAATTTAGTTACCGTTGGAGCCGAATTTTTTAGGAGAAAATTTTTTTTTTCAAGCCAAACAATTCCCTATAAATACCCCCCTCCCCCCATTTTTCTCACCCAAAAACTCTCATCCTCTCTTAATTTCTACAATCTCTCTCAAATCTCTCTTAATCTCTCTTAATATTTCTCAAATCTCTCTTAATCTCACCCAAATCTCTCTCGATCTCTCTTAATCTCTCTCAAAGCGGTCTCAATCTCTCTTATTTTTCATAATGGATTCTTCCGGTTATGGTGGTGATATTCCCGTTGATGCCCAATTCAACATTGAAGAAGGGCAATTTCCTACTAAAGTTTTTCAAATGCAGGAATCGCAAACACCAGAAATAGCTGTTGAGGAAACTGCAAATCCGAGCCGTGGTGGACGTACTAGAGGTCGTGGACCTCGTAGGCATGGAGAAGAGGCAAACGCAAGTGTTGCAAGTTCCAAGAAGAAATGCAAGCACACCTCAACAGTTTAAGAGCACTTTAACACATTCGAGGAGGTCGACAATAACAGTAACATTAAATACATAGCTCAATGCAAATATTGTGGTGATAAATTACAAGGTAACACTATTCACGGCACAACACACTTGAGAAAACACTCCGAAAAGTGTCTTCAAAAGCAAGGAGGCGAATCTGATCTCCGCCAAACACAATTATTATTTGACTGCCAAACCGGCGGTCTAACCACTTGGAAATACGATCCGCAAGTCGATCGTATGGAAATGACACGATTAGTAGCCACATTAGATTAGCCACTTAGTTTTACTGAACAAAGAAATTGGCAGCGTTATATTAAAATTGTACATAATCCTAATGCACAATTTTTTTTCAAGAACTACTCTTAGGAAAGATGCATTAAAATTATATAAACAAGAAAGGGAATCATTAATCAACCTTTTACACTCTACTAGTGGTTGCGTTATGTTAACGGTGGATATTTGGTCCGCCGTTGCCAACAAAGATTATTTAGCTGTAACTGGATATTATTTTAAAGGTTTTGATTTAGATAAGAGAATCTTAAGTTTTAAATGTGTTATAGGATTACATACCGTTGATTTAATATCTAATACAATTTTATCTATCATTGATGAATATAGTTTAAGGGATAGAGTAATGGCTATAACATTAGATAATGCTACTGTAAATACTAAAGCAATAGAACTTTTTGAAAATGATTTAAGTTTATTCGGTAATAATGATATATTTCACCAACGTTGTGCATGCCATGTAATTAATTTAATAGTAAAATTCGGTTTAAAATCAATGGCAGGTCATATTAAAAGAATTAGAGATAATATTGCATGGATTCAAGGTAGTAATCAAAGAATACAAGATTGGTTTAGGTTTCTACAAGCATGTAATCAAAATTCTAGAGCATTAGCCTGAGATATGCCTGTAAGATGGAACTCCACTTATATAATGCTTGAACAATGCATCCCCTATAAAGATGCTATAACAAACTATGTTAGTGCAAATTAGGACCAGGATTTGTTGACGAAACTGATTGGTAAATTGCCAAACTCTTGTATAAGTTCTTAGGTAGATTTCACGAAGTTACTTTAAAGCTTAGTTGAACATATTACCCAACGTCACCATTAGCGTTAGGAGAAGTTTTAAGAATGACTATTTTATTTAGTGAATTTAGGACACACGAGGTTTTAGGAGTTCCTATCGTTTCTATGGAAAATAAGTTTAAAAAATATTGGACTAAATTACCAATGTTGTATGGTTTCAGTGTTATTTTTTATCCTAGATTAAAATTAGAAGGTTTAGAAAGTGGATTAGAAAACTTAGATGACTTTTTAGATATCGACTATTCTGACCAATTTCCTATTATAAAGGAAAAAATATTATCTCTCTATAGCTCTTATGAAAGTAGGTTTAGAAACCCACATCGTGTAAAACAACCGCAACAATGAGATGACAATCCGCATTCATTCTTGAATGTTTTTGGGTTGAAGAAGAAGAAGAAGACGACGACAACGACGACTCAAGGTCAAGAAGAATCTGAGAGTGGATCTTCATCAAGAGGTGACAGCAACAGCGGCGGCTTCAATAAGTTAATGGCGTACCTGAGTGAGGGCTTAGTAGTCGACAATAGTGAAATGTTTGATTTGGCTCAATGGTGGAGGGCACGATCATAACTCAACTGGCAATGGATATTTTTTTATCCCAGTCTGCACTGTTTCATCCGAACAAGCCTTCAGTACGACCGGGCGAATAATTGAGGAACGTAGAAACGCATTGCAACAGGACACTGTTGAAGCTTTGCTGTGCATTAAGGATTGGGATCGTTCCGACCAACACTTACACGATACAATTTCGCCGACAAGCCAAGAATGGATTGATGAATTTAATAGATTAACTTTTAACTTTGAAGACGATCCTTCAACTTCAAGTTAAATTATATTATTGTAATTTGTAAATATTTATTTACTTTGTACAGTGTTATTGTAATCTTGTATAGACTTTATAAGTTCATCAAATTTGTAATTCGTCATAGAATGATTGCACTCTTTTTTTCTTACTAAGTTTTTATCCCAATTGGGTTTTTCTTGATAAGATTTTTAACGAGACAATCCTGAATTATAAATTTAAAAATTAATAAATAAATAATTTTTTTATATAGTTCGTGTTCATTTCAAATTTCAAATTGCAATCTCCCTTATAATTTTTACAATAAATAACTTAAAATTCATTTATATACATACCATATATAATTAATAAACAAAATTATATATAATATATAATAGTATATAAATATATAAAAAATATTAAAAAAATTTAGACACCTTGGGTGGATTCGGGCTGCCTGACTGGGCTTGGGCAGCCAAAACTTACCCGAAGTCCGTCCATGGTCTTTCTTGGGTCGGGTCGGACAGCTTGAAAATTCAGGCTCAGGCGGGCTCGATCATCAGGTAAAAATTCAAAATTTTCAGTGGTCACGGGTGACCCGTCCAAAGTTTCAGCACTACTTAGAAGCCATGAACAAGGATGCGGAGATCATATTCGGTACATTTAGAAAATGACAATACCAATATAATTATATAAAAAATTGAAGAGTGTTATAAAAAATGATGAAATTTCTTAAAAAATTCATCGATATTTTTTTAATACAATTAGGATAATTTTTTGATAGGATTAAAAGAAAACTCATTATGATATTAAATTTTCATCAAATTTTTATTAGATTCTGATATTTTTCTTTTAATATAATATGATGGTCTAAAATTATACGTACTATCTTCTTTAATATGATACTCTACAACAAATCATCTATTCATTTAAAAATATTATGAATGTTTGTGTTTTTTGGCTTTTAACACTAGGCTTAAAATAAAACTAAAAATAAAAACAAAGAAAGAAAGAGCATAAAATGTAGAGAAGCAAACATTAATGATGCAGCAATTAAGTGCTACAACTACAACGGTACAACCACAAGCATAAATTGCTGCAACTAAAATAATTTTAACAAGATCATGGTAGGCCCCGCAAGTATTGGTTGGGCTGAAAATAATTTGATCAAATTCATACCACCACATTTAATACTCTGTATCTACGCGTTATAGATTAAGTGAGTCTCTACGGACCTCACAAAATTTAGAAAAGTAAAAACTGATTAAATGATTAATAAAAGACTAATTCAAACCATTTCTACATAATCAGTGTTCCTTGAGATTGTTGCTATATGGAACATAAAATGCACCATTAGATCATTTTTTAATAAGCATAAGAAAATTGTACCCCCAATTATAAGAATAGTCATTCTGAGGCCAGGGTCAACAAACTGAGGGGTGGTGGGGGCCAGGCATGATTTATGAACCAACTGCAACAACAAAAGTAAATGAATTTTCAAAGAGACACAGTAAAAAGTTGTAAAAAAAACACATGCATTCTGAACTTCATCTCCTAAATTTTCAGCTACAGCACTACAAACAACGTACAGGCCATGAAGAGACCCCTCTCTCTCTCTCTCTTTCTCTCTCTCTCTCTCTCTATATATATATATATATATATATATATGTGTGTATGTATGTATGTATGTCATAACGACTAAAGAGGTTTCAAAACCTCGTTCGTCCAAAAACCAGAATCTTTCACCACCTTGTGATTCAGATTAAGAAAAGATGCAATAGTGTATACCGTACCATAATATGATATATGATATAATGTGTGTCCCACTTGTCAAATTCAGCAAAGTAAAGGGGATTGGTAAACTCGTTCCTGATCACAATCACACATTGCGTTTGTTCATACTTTCCAATCAATAGTCCTAACGATGCCAATTGCCACATTCCCAAACTTACAACATAATTGTGGCAAGTCGTAATGCTTTGGAATAGACAACTATATAATAATATGTTAATTTACTAATTTATCTAAAAAATTTAAGCTGTTAAGAGGTGGATCAAAAATAGTTTTTATACTTTAACACTCTCTTTCACGTGTGGACTGGACAATGGGCAATCATGTGGGTAAATTAATTGAAAAGTCCAACACGTAAATATTTAAATATATTAAAGACACAACACATGATGAAAATTTAAATGGGAATAAAGAGTATAATTACGAGGGTTTGAACTCAGGACCTCCCACTCTGATACCATTTTAATTTACCGATCTATCCCAAAAAGCTTAATAGTTTTTATACTTTTAACATAATAAGAATTGGGTAATGGCAAGATATACAAGCTAAACATGCCTGTTTGTGAAAGCCTGGCTATATTTGTGAAAGCCCAATTGGTAGTCTGAACTAGGAGGAAAATGCATGGGTAATTTGGAGGAATGCTAGAAAAACCAATGGACTGGTCAAGAGTTAATAAAATGTGTTTGACGGAATTTATCCCGCATGTTAAAAAGGTTATCTATCATATGTTGCCGGAACCAGATCATGACCATGATCATCATCATATTGAGCATGATCAAGTACACATGATGAACAAGCCTGATGAATAGATCAAGATCAAAACATGCCTTTTATGTGGCCACTTTGTAACATGTGATCATACAAGCTCTAGCTGGTCACAAGAAAAAGCACATGAACAGAAACCAAGTTGATGATGATTAATTTCAGCTAGATAACGAAGAAGAAGAAGATGATGAATTTGAGCCAGAAGACCTAACACCTTATCAAGAACCTGAACAAGTTCTTAACTCCTACTCCTTCTCTTCCTCAAATTCCACAGGAGATATTCATCACATATATATGATTGATGATGATGATGAAGAGGACGAAGAAGTGGTGGTGGTGGTGGAGATCATGTTTCTGCTCAAGAGGGTGATAGTAAGAATATTCTTGTTTTTTATTTCAATGAGTTTCCATCTTTGGCGGATTGAATATTGAAGAACTTAGCGCAAGTGGCTGGTGGGGTTATTGTTCTTTAGTAGCTTTCATTTGTTGAATTTCTTCATGGAAAGCATGCTATTGATAGGTCTAAAACAAATAGCATCCAAAGAGGCTCTTTGGGCTCATGAAGATTGATGATTATATATCTCAGTTATTTCATGATTTTGTATAAAGTAGTAAAGTTTTCTTTCATAATCCATAATTCTTCAATCCATGATCATCTTTAACGTTCCTTCTGCTATATATATATATATATATATGTCTCCATAGGAATTGAATATATTGTGAACTTTTAGGTGTTAAGATCAATTTGGTATTTAAAACATTTAACATAAATCATACACCCCTAACGTCCTCTTCCAAGAATATACAAAAATTTGTTTACGGATAATTTTTCCTAACCGCCCCTCCTTTTCCATTTCTCCGATTGTCTATCCTAAAGGGTAACTTTTGTTTCATTCTCCACTTGCGTTGGACTTGCAGTGGCGATACAACAAAGAAAGATGGTATTACATATCTTCGATTAATCATTGACAAGTTCGTTGGATATGGGACGTGTGGAGCAAGAGAGATTCTACAAAAATATTTAAGAGTGGACTAGATATATTGTTAGTGTCATAAATTTTTATCACATTGATAAGATGACTGAAACTCAACAAGACAAAATCATTTCACATATAATGATCCCGTGGCTCTTCTCTATAAAAAAATAAATAAATAAATAAATAAAAAGTACGTCTTTATCTCTTATTTCTTTAAAGATATTGCCATATCTGAAGACTGAAAGTCAATTCCTTGAGGTATCACTCCAGAACAGATAAATTTTGATCCAATGCGCGAACTTTCTGTGCAAGTATTTTGAGAACTGCATCCCCAGGCACCCTTCCAGTTTGTTTGTTGATGACATACTTTCTTCAATAGGATCAGGCACATTGCTCTTCATCATTTTGAGTTTGAGAACCCATTTCTTTACACATATGCTGATCAAGATCACACACCTCAAGGGGCTCCGACCTCAAGGGGCTCCGACTGGGACAAAAGAGGTTTCCGATCAGCGGTTGCTCCCTCAGACACAGACACACTGCCTCCGACGGATATCACATCTTCAAGCATTTCCTCGACAGCATCAACTCCAAACACCTCAATGACACTCAGTGTGCAATAGAACTCTGAACCATAGTAGCTTAGAAGATTCAACTTAAATCTCTATGCTTGCTTAACATTAGCAGCCTTTGAACTCTCCGAGTTTGACCCATTCATCTGACGGATAAACCAAACGGCCAAGCAGCTCAAAATCCGAAAGATCAAGTCTCTACGCTAGTTATCATTTTTGCTCCTTTAAATCTTAACGAAAAAAACTCAATCTAAACAGTGATTATCTCAACAAGCACTGAAATGCTTAGTGCTTGCAGATACGAATTGTCCCACACGTGAATGAAAGAAAGCTAACATAAGACCATTCATATCAATTTGATACAATTCCTCAAAGCTTATTATCCAAAAATCCTTGAAAAAAATGGATCTTATTTTTAATATAGAACAATTTTTCAGCAAAATTCACGTATTTATGAAATTAATGTTCATTCCATTAAGTGATAAGAGTGATTTTGAACAAAGCAGCACAACAAGAACTCAAATTGCCTGAAATTTGCTTGCACATAAAAGTTGACGAAAATGTCATCAATATACAATTTTGTTTATGTGTCCGAATTGCAGAATGCAGATCAAAATTCTCAATTGTTGAAACAAATATTACCTCTCAAAAAAGGAATTTCTCAAACCTCAGAAACCGGAAGGCGAAGAGAGCTTCAAGCACGCCCAAACAAGCGCCAGCGAGGACGTCGACGACGAAATGCCTGCCGAGCAAAACCCTAGACAGAGCCGTGGCTGCGGCCCACGCCCAAACGGCCGTGGCGAGGGAGAAGAAATCCAGATCGGAGGAGTAGAAGAAGGAGGCGGCGACGAAGAAGACTCTGGAGGAGTGGCCGCTCGGGAAGGAGAAGTGGTCGACGGAGACGGCGACGCTCATGTTGTTGGGGTTGTAGTGAGGTCGGGAGCGGCGGACGAGGATCTTGAGGAGGCCGACAAGTGCGAGGTCGAGGAGTAGGCCGAGGAGGAAGGGGACGAGGAAGGGGCGGAGGCGGTCGGCGGCGGTGGCGGGGGCGAGGAGGAGGGAGAGGGAGAGGGGAAAGAAGAGGCGGAAGTCGGCAGAGAGCTCCAGGAGGAGGAGGAGGGAGGGAGAGAGGAGCGGCTTCGCGAGAGTGTGGAGGTGGAGGGAGAGCTTGCTGTCGACGCTTATAAGACGGCGGAGGAGCGGCGGCGATGTGGTAGCGACGGCGGTTTTGGTGGTTGTGATGGGTTTAGGTTTGGGAGGTGAGGAAGAGTGGTCCATTGGTGGATTTGGGGAGTTTGGACTGGGAGATGATTGGGCCGTTGAGGTGGGTTCTCTATATGTTGACCTCGTTTTTAACTGCCAATTGGAGCAAAGTGGATTTCAAATGAGAAAAAAAAATGCCAGTTCATATGAAATAGTTGGGATAATCCATTGATATTTTATTAATATTGAAGACGTTACCCATGTTTTCTAATGCAAATACCAATGTCGATATTAGATTTATTATTAAGTAAGTTTAACCTCAAGAATAGTATTATATTAAAGAGTAATTTTTCACTAGATATTAACGCCTCATTCACTCCGTGGATTCGAGTTGAGATGTGACATTTTCTGAGAACTTTTCACTGTAATAGAAAAAATTAGATGTGACATATTCTGAGAGCTTTTTACTGTAGAAACCTAAAACTGAAAACTCGAATCGGTGAAATGAACGAGACTTAAGTTTATTTCACCAATTCTAGTTTTTAATTTCAATTTTACTACAGTTAAAATGTCTTATAAAAAGTCACATCTAATTTTTCTACTACAGTGAAAAACTCTCATATAAAATCACATATCAACTTAAATTCACGAACTGAACGACCTAAATTTTAGTATGGACCCATATTGTAATGTTTAAAAATCAAATTAGTTTGGTCACTATCAATATTGTGCGGTGCTAATTATGCATTATTAGCACAACCAACTCGTGTCGGGTGCTATTAGCATTTAGCACTTAGCCTTTTTAATGTAGGATTAAGGAGTGATAAGAAAATTAGTGGTGTAACTTAAGTGAAATATGCAGATGCAGAAGCAGGTTATGAATATGAGAATAAACCACTGAGAAACAACCATTTAATCACAAAAAGAATAGATGAAAACCATGCAAATGCAATAGTAGACAACAATTCTCCCAGACCACACTAAAAAAAAAAAAAAAGAGCCCGGACTTGGTCATAGACGAATGTCAAAACTGTTGGTTGCCGAATCGAATTCGGCTGCGGAAGCGTGGGGAAAAAACGGATCGTGTATAACAAAAATTTCATAAAATTTTTGAGATACTCTATAGATTATATTAATTTATGCACAAATAAATTAATCGCATTAATTTATATATTTCAAGAACTCAATCCGGAAAAAATACCTGGAAGCCGACTCGGATGATAACTTGAGTTCTTTGTCCACGAACAGTCATTGCTCCAAGCTTTGTGTTTAGAAATCCAAAGTCTTCCACGTCAATTCCTTGATTCCACGTAGACGTGTGTGACAAAACAGGTTTCTGAAACACTCGAATTTCTACAAACACCAACGCATGCACGATGTGGAATTTTTAGAGAAAAATATTTGCTCTCTTTTTTCTCTATGAATTTCGGCCACCAATCTAATTAGGGCTGAATAATATTTCAAAAATTGTTTTCACAATTTTCTACCATTCTCATATTTAAAGAGTAGAAGCCAAACTTCAAAACAGAATCAAATCCCTATCTCCAATTTTTGAATTTTGAACAAAAAATCCCTTCCCCTTATCCATAAGGTGGCCGGCCACACCCTTAGGGTTTCACCCTGTGTGTGGCGCCAACAGCAGATAGGGAAGGAAGATAAATCATCATTTATCCTGTAATCCAATTTTAATTCAAATTCGAATTTAAGTCAAACTTAAATTAATTTGAATTCTAAATTGAACAACTTATCAAATAAGTTTAAATGGATAAATCTAGATGTGTTCAAATTTAAATTTAAATAATCACATTATTTAAATAATAATTAATTCTCAATTAATTATTTTTTGAGTATTTAATTTTAGATT